CTGGTATATAAATCAATCAATCAGTCAGTCAATCAATCAATCAATCAGTCAATCAATCAAAACAGGAGGATGGACTAACGATGATACAAGATTTATCTACGAGAAGTTGAAGGTAAGTCTCGGGCCCCCTGGAAACACAGACCGAAACTGTCTCTATTTTCCGCTTGTTACAACTTGTAATAAAGTTGTTACATCTTGGCTTAACGTGTTTATGACGTATTAGAACGTTGTTACAACTTGCTATATTGGTTGTTATAACTGGTTAGGAGGTGTTAAAACTTGTTCGAACGTTGTACCAACGTCGTAGTTTCGGTGTGTGTTTGGCGAGGGCAGGTCAGCTGGCGGGCAGGTCAGCTGGCGGGCAGGTCAGCTGGCGGGCAGGTCAGCTGGCGGGCAGGTCAGCTGGCGGGCAGGTCAGCTGGCGGGCAGGTCAGCTGGCGGGCAGGTCAGCTGGCGGGCACGTCAGCTGGCGGGCAGGTCAGCTGGCGGGCAGGTCAGCTGGCGGGCAGGTCAGCTGGCGGGCAGGTCAGCTGGCGGGCAGGTCAGCTGGCGGGCAGGTCAGCTGGCGGGCAGGTCAGCTGGCGGGCAGGTCAGCTGGCGGGCAGGTCAGCTGGCGGGCAGGTCAGCTGGCGGGCAGGTCAGCTGGCGGGCAGGTCAGCTTCGCACAAAAGCATGTTTTTGAAGTCGAGTACACAGGAAAGTGCTCAAGATGCCAGTAATGATGCAATTTACTCTTGACAGCCGGAGCTCTCTCCACCGGAAACTCATGAGGGGGAGAGGGGGGGGGGTAGATACAGGCAGGGTGGTGGTGGGTAAATACAGGCAAAGGGGGGTTTAGGGAAGGACATGGGGGGGGGGGAGGGGGCTTGCGAAAACTACCATCTACTCACCTAGATGTGTTTGCGGGGCTTGAGCTCTGGCTCTTTGGTCCCGCCTCTCAACTGTCAATCAACTGGTGTACAGATTCCTGAGCCTATTGGGCTCTATCTATTATATGTGGGGGAAGAGCCCGAGAGACAGGCCATTCTCGCCAGCATTCCCAACGTCAAAAACTGTCATACTGCAGTGCCCTATCCGAACCTACCAGAGGACCCAAAACAGAAAACGGGACAGTAAGGACCTGTGAATTATCTTCAGAGTAGATCATGAAATAGCTTATTGAAACACAGTAGCTAATGGTCCTCTACTGTTAATGCACGAAATATTGATCAAATGCACACACAAATAATCTCCAGTCATTGGGAACTATCCTGTTACAAGTCCTGTACAGGTCTTGTACAAGTCCTGTACAGGTTCTGTACAAGTCCTGTACAGGTCTTGTACAGGACCTGTACAGGTCTTGTACAGGTTCTGTTGTGACTCCTCGTGTGTGATTTCCTCGAGGTGGTTGAGAGCATCCCTTGTGCCAGGGACCGGGATCTCTGACCAGATCTAATGAACAAATCCACAAGGGCCGTGACGAGGATTCGAACCTGCGTCCGGGAGCATCCCAGACACTGCCTTAATCGACTGAGCTACGACAGGGTAAACAGATCTCCTCGTCATCTGATCGATCCCATAAATGAGAAGATTAGGCCGTAGTTCATTTTGAACACGTGAACATCATTCTTCCTAGTATGGATGTTTATAGTGAAATTGCAATAATTGATCACGGTGGAATAATTTATTGTTATTGAAGTCATTTATGACAATGTTAAATTATCGTACCACGTACGTCATAATTTCTACATTTATTACACACTAAAATATTGTATGACCTAAATTATCTCTGTCGTTTCATAGTACAAAAAGACAAAATTGGGTAATTTTCATTCACGTTTATTTTTCAAACTCATGACATTCTTCACTATTGAAGCTGCGGTAATTGTTATTGAACTATAGAGCAAAAGTTACTCTTTTGAACGGGTTGACTGTGTTAGTTGAGTTAGACATTATTACATAAAGCCGGTCACCAAAATGGCTTTGTGCAACCAGTAGCAACGTTGTTGTTGTTGTAAAAAAAGTTGATAAAAGGGTTATTGGGCGCGTACAATGGGTTGTTTATGTTGCCAGCTGTGTGTTGTGTTGCTGTGTGTAGCCCCCCCCCTCTCCCTCCCCCCCTTCTCCGCCCCATCCTACCCCCCACCCCATTCCACCCCTCCCATATTGTCCCCTTCCTCCCATACCTGTACTATACATGGAGAGAGTTCTGGGAGTTCTTCTACTCCCCGACTTGGGGTAACTTGGTCCAACAGGCTATTGCTTCTCCGAATATTCTTCTAAGAATATTAATACTAATGTTTTTGCAGTGTGTGTGTATGTAGTGTTGCTGGCCGAGCCGCGTGGCTAAGGCAATCAGCTGGCTTCTTTGACGGACTTAATTAGATGCTGCAGTTTGCCGGAACTGCCTGTGTGGGGCTTGATGAGTGATGACCCTCTCATCCATGTCCTCCCCTCTCATGCTTCATTCCCCTCTCTCCTCGTCCTTCTCCTCCAGCTCCTTCTCTTCTTAATCGTCTTCTGTTCTGTTTCTTCTCTCTTTATCCCCTCTCTCATCCATGTCCTCTCCTCTCATGCTTCATTCCCCTCTCTCCTCGTCGTCCTCCTCCAGCTCCTCTTCTTAATCGTCTTTTCTCTTTCTCCTCTCTTTATCCCCCTCTACCTCTCGTCTTTATCTCATTATTTTCTCCTTGTCCTCTCTTCCCTTATTCTTCTTAACTGTCTTCCCTTCCAGGCCTCGCTTTACCGTGTCTTCTCCCGTTCCATCTTATTCCTATCAGCTGTCTTTCATTCCTGCTTCTTCCCTTTCCCCAATCTTCTTCCCTTCCCAATCTTGTAGAGCGACGGTTTCGCTTCATGCAGGTCGGCGTTCAATCCCCGACCCGTCCAAGTGGTTGGACACCATTCCTGCCCCCCCCTCCCCCCCGCCCCATCCCAAATCCTTATCCTGACCCCTTCCAAGTGCTGTATAGTCGTAATGGCTTGGCGCTTTTCCCTGATAATACCTCCCCTTCCCAGTCTTCTTCCCTTCCCAATCTTCTTCCCTTCCCCAATCTTCTTCCCTTCCCCAATCTTCTTCCCTTCCCCAATCTTCTTCCCTTCCCCAATCTTCTTCCCTTCCCCAATCTTCTTCCCTTCCCCAATCTTCTTCCCTTCCCCAATCTTCTTCCCTTCCCCAATCTTCTTCCCTTCCCCAATCTTCTTCCCTTCCCCAGTCTTCTTCCCAATCTTCTTCCCATCCCAATTACGCCAGGGGAATCTCCTCCATTATCTTGACCTCTATAAACTAAACTTAATTTTCTGGTTCTGGGTAAACAGATGTCGCCTTTCACGGTGTAAACAAGAGCCTGCGATAGCAAAACAGTTCCTGGACCTTTCGTGAGACAAACAGGTTTTGGTTATCCGGGTTAAGTTGATTATTTGTGTGGTTATCTGTGTAAACAGCTTCTAATTCTCAGGGGCAGATAACGGCTGGTTTTGAGAGCGTCAAAACCAGCGTAAGATAAGCAGGCGATGAGTCACAATAACGTGGCTGAAGTATGTTGACCAGACCACACACTAGAAATTGAAGGGACGACGACGTTTCGGTCCGTCCTGGACCATTCTCAAGTCGATTGTGACTTTCTCGATTTCTCAAGTCGATTGTCGATTTCTCACAATCGACTTGAGAATGGTCCAGGACGGACCGAAACGTCGTCGTCCCTTCAATTTCTAGTGTGTGGTCTGGTCAGCGTAAGATAACTTCAAAGTAACCTCAAGGTCAGACTTGAGAATGGTCCAGGACGGACCGAAACGTCGTCGTCCCTTCACCTTCTAGTGTGTGTGGTCTTGTCATCTCAAGGTCAGTTCAAGTTCCTGGGGCAGGAACTACCTACTTGAGGCAGTTAGGGACAGTATTCAAGAGTAATTGGGCAGTTAGTTCTCGCTGGGTAATGAGTTTTCTGCCCATCACCGGAGCGCTCGTTAACAAGTCTTACACGGAAGGCAGTTCGGTGATTGGGTAGTGATTGTTGTTAAGATAGTGAGGGAGACGGTTGCTAGGGAACACGGAGACGGTTGCTAGGGAACCCGGAGACGGTTGCTAGGGAACACGGAGACGGTTGCTAGGGAACCCGGAGACGGTTGCTAGGGAACACGGAGACTGTTGCTAGGGAACCCGGAGACGGTTGCTAGGGAACACGGAGACTGTTGCTAGGGAACACGGAGACGGTTGCTAGGGAACACGGAGACGGTTGCTAGGGAACACGGAGACTGTTGCTAGGCAACACGGAGACGGTTGCTAGGGAACCCGGAGACGGTTGCTAGGGAACACGGAGACTGTTGCTAGGCAACACGGAGACGGTTGCTAGGGGACACGGAGACGGTTGCTAGGTAACCCGGAGACGGTTGCTAGGCAACACGGAGACGGTTGCTAGGCAACACGGAGACGGTTGCTAGGGAACCCGGAGACGGTTGCTAGGGAACACGGAGACTGTTGCTAGGCAACACGGAGACGGTTGCTAGGGAACCCGGAGACGTTTGCTAGGGAACCCGGAGACGGTTCCTAGGCAACCCGGAGATGGTTCCTAGGCAACACGGAGACGGTTGCTAGGCGACCGTCTCAACCCCCGCAAGCACAAATAGGTGAGTACATGTTGCCATATTCACCCTGAGGCCAAAGAAACTTTTCCCTTTGCCTGTTTGTTTTCATCTTCTTAACTCTACCCCCCCCCCCATCCCCCTCACCTAGAAACAACAAAAAATCCCCAGCCTCTTCAGTCAGGCCTCTTGGTGGGTGAGGGGGGGCCTGGTCAACAAGGCTGTTCAAGGGGGAACTTTGAACACAGCAAAGAGGAAGGGAAAGAAAGGGGAAATAGAACAGGAGGGAGGTGAGGGAAATAGAGGGAATTAGGCTGGAAGGAGTGGAAATTCCTGAAGGAAAAAGAGATGGAAGATGAAGCAGCATTGTTGTTGTTATAGATCTAGCCACTAGGAACCCAAAGCTCCAAGTAGCACGGGCTATGGTGAGCCCGTTCCTTAAGCAGCAGCAGCAGCAGCGATGGTGGTGGCGGCGGCTGGGGGGGAGGGAGTGTGGTCGTGGAGAGAGCCACAGTCTACCAAACAGTCCGGTCTGTGGCGCACGTTGCCAGTCCTCGCTCTCTCCACCACACGTGCACCATCTCCTCTCGCCTCCTACACACACACACACCTACGCCACTAGGGATGAACATAGCGACCGGTGGAGTGACTTTGGGTGTCGCTAAGTTGGTTGTGTAACAGAGAAAGACAATGAGTGAGTTGCTACCCCTCGTGTCTGTCAGACGCTGGAGAAATGTTACCCCGGGGCATGATAGACTGGTTATTATTTTTCTGGTGCAGCTGTCAGTCATGCTGTCTAATGTTTAGAGTGATGATTAATAAAGATTAAGCCACCCAAGAGGTGGCACGGGCATGAATAGCCCGTAAGTGGTACTAATGTTTAGAGTGACAGGATCATAATATACCTGGAGAGGTTTCTGGGAGTTATGCTTCCCCAAGCCCGGCCTGAGGCCAGGCTTGACCGGTGATAATAGTGTTTAATGAAGTATTTTACGCACCTAAATATTAGCAGAAAATTTCTTTAAAGTGAACATTAGCGAAACGAACATAAACGCCGACTAATGTATAGTGGGAGATATTGAGTGCGGATGAGAATTATACGTACACGGAATACATGAAACACAAATCCCGGCTCATGAGAAACACGCTGCCAAGCCAAGTCAAGGACACCAGTGTTATACTGGATAGCGAGTGTGTTTACGCATGATAACAGGTTCAAGTTTGAACGGTCAGTGTGGAAAATGGTGCCGGGGGGTGTATCGAACCTCCGCAAGTGTTGCGCGACTCTGGGACGATGAACTGTGACTTCGTACATAGTGGTTATATCTTGAGATGATTTCGGGGCTTAGTGTCCCCGCGGCCCGGTCCTCGACCAGGCCTCCGTTTTGTTGACGCTGGGCTGTAATATGTTTGGGGAAATCATTGGGGAAAATTGTCATGTATGGATGTAATTCACGTTTTCTTTGACAAAACCAGATACAGGCAGAATGTGTTCTGGAAAAGGAATCAGTAAGTTGCGATAGACGGGTAACTTTACCTCGAGTTGGCTTCGAGGATTAGTGGCCTCGCGGCCCGGTCTCCGATCAGGCTTCCTGACTGACGGTCTGACGGAAGACATCTCCCGTCACGCAGGGTGCAGTCGCACCTCCACAGATCTCCAGTATCAGCTCTTGATACTGGTAATGGCTCAAAAGGGCCACCACTTACGGGCTATTCATGCCCGTGCCACCTTTTGGGTGGCTTAATCTTCATGAATCAATCAATCTGACGGTCTGACCAACCAGGCTGTTTGACGCCGCTGCCCCCAGTATATTTGTCTCAATTTCATCCCGGTTGATCAGGTAGACCTTAGAGGTGTTTATAAAGAAACCTCTACAAGGACTAAAAGGGACTAGTTAGACACCTCATCTATAGGGGAAGAATTTTGAAAAGTCTTAGACCATTTTTGTATGTAAAATTGCCTCTAAGAGTACCTGTTGCTCCCCTTCTTTCCTGTGAAGATATTTTTCACATTGTGCCACGTCTCTCGTCCTCGTAAGGAACCTCTGTTGTTGTTGTTGTTTAAGATTCACTACTTGGAACAAAAAGTTCCAAGTAGCACGGGCTATGGTGAGCCCGTAGTGGACTTGCGTTACCAACATCTAGACAACACAAGTGGAACCTCTGTATTCCAGTATGCTGACTTGAAACTTGTCCCCCTCTAATATTTTTCATGTGAAAATTAGGCAGAATTTCTCGCCAGCTCCCTTGGGATTATACACTTTGAGGGATTATAAGTAGACCCAATAATTTGCGTGTTTTAATAATGGATTCTAGCAGTAAAATGTCTCTGCTCGTTCTCCAGGTTAGCAGTTTCTCCAGCTTTGAATGGGGCTGATGTTGTCCAACAGTATTCCACACTAGAGGTTATCTCCTTATCTTGAGGTTATCTTGAGATGATTTCGGGGCTTTTAGTGTCCCCGCGGCCCGGTCCTCGACCAGGCCTCCACCCCCAGGAAGCAGCCCGTGACAGCTGACTAATACCCAGGTACCTATTTTACTGCTAGGTAACAGGGGCATAGGGTGAAAGAAACTCTGCCCATTGTTTCACGCCGGCGCCTGGGATCGAACCCAGGACCACAGGATCACAAGTCCAGTGTGCTGTATGTATGTTAATACACTAGAGGGCTCTAGTGTATTAAAAATTATAATTGGTTTGGTTGTTTGAAAGGTTCTCGTTATCCAACCTGTCATTTTTCTTGCAGTTGTGACGGCTGCATTGTTCCCTTGTTTATAAGCAAGGTCATCCCACATGACTTTTGTTTTGTTTCATATGGTTCCTTTTGTTTATTTATGCTATACCTTAGTACAGAAAGTTGAACTTGTCTTCAGTGAATATTGTTTTGGCCCGTTGACAGACTGTGTTTACATCAGTTTGGAGGTTCAAGAGAGAGATTGATAAACGCCTCCAATGGATACCTGATTCATGCTTCAGGCTGCGAGCAGATGCATTCAAAAGCCTGGCTGATCAGACCACCAACCAGGCCAGGCCTGGTTGGTGGTCTGGTCTGGCTCCCCCCAAGCCCGACCCGAGGCCAGGCTTCTGAGAGCTTGGTCCACCAGGCTGTTGCTTGGACGTAAACAGCGTGAAGTATAGCACTCTGCATTACGTCACTCTAAACTGGTTTCCTCATGCACTCTGGTTACCGTGTCATGGTTCCAAGGATCAACGTCCCCGGGGCTCGGTCTCTGACCAGGGAATCTGGTTGCTAGACTAGTCAACCAAGCTGTTGAACACAGCTGCTCGCAAGCTGACATATGAATCACAATCTGGTTGATCAGACTGTAATAAATGCAGCCTGCATGAAGATTATGGTGGCAATGTTTACAAGTTTAAATTACAAATGTTTTGGGTTGGGTTGATCAGTCCTGCAACCAGGAGGCCTGGTCGACGACCGGGCCGCGGGGACGCTGAGCCCCGGAAGCACCTCAAGGTAACCTCAAGGTAGGTGGTGGTGCTCACCTAACAGGGACGACTGGGGAGCGAGGTGTTGCTTATTTTGATGGGTTGCCCCTGACGGAGTGCTGGTGGGCCCTAGGAATCCAGGTCCCTGACCTAGGAACCCCAGGTCCCTGACCTAGAAACCCCAGGTCCCTGACCTAGGAACCCCAGGTCCCTGACCTAGAAACCCCAGGTCCCTGACCTAGAAACCCCAGGTCCCTGACCTAGAAACCCCAGGTCCCTGACCTAGGAACCCCAGGTCCCTGACCTAGAAACCCCAGGTCCCTGACCTAGGAACCCCAGGTCCCTGACCTAGAAACCCCAGGTCCCTGACCTAGGAACCCCAGGTCCCTGACCTAGGAACCCCAGGTCCCTGACCTAGAAACCCCAGGTCCCTGACCTAGGAACCCCAGGTCCCTGACCTAGGAACCCCAGGTCCCTGACCTAGGAACCCCAGGTCCCTGACCTAGGAACCCCAGGTCCCTGACCTAGGAACCCCAGGTCCCTGACCTAGGAACCCCAGGTCCCTGACCTAGGAACCCCAGGTCCCTGACCTAGAAACCCCAGGTCCCTGACCTAGAAACCCACACTACCCCCCCAGACGGAGTGGTAGTGGGGAACGGACCCGATACCTGCCCCCTCACACCTCTGGGGGACTGGGGGAGTGTAGTGTTTCCTTTTTTTTTCTATCCCCAACTGTGTTTTTAAGTTTGGGAAATTTATCTCGTTTCATGGACTTATTTGGGGTAACAATTACAGAATTTGATCACCGGAGAAGTGTGTCATGGTGCTTCTCCCTCGTGAAACATTATTTACTTTACTTGATTCACGAAAGTCGTGAAAAATTATAGATTTTCACGTGATCCACTAGACTATTGGTCGCCAACCGGTGGTCCACGAGACAATTTTGTGTATTTTATGTAACTGTATATTTTCTTTTAACTGTTATATATAACGACATCAAATAATTTGGTTTAATAACTATCATTTCTTCTATGGTGGACCGCGGGGGTTTAAAACTATGAATTTAGTGACCCAAGAGCTTCTGAAGGAGGGTGATCGTCGACCATCTCTGGCCGTGTTGAAAAGGGAACTTAACACAAACATCCAAAGGATTCGTTCCCAATCATGCTGTAATTTAAACGTCAGACTGCGAGCAGCGGGGTATGACAGCCTGGTTGACCAAACCACCAATCAGGAGGCTGGGTTAAAGACCTTGTTCGAAGGTCACTGTTCTTCGAAACCACCTCAAATTAAGTTCAAGGTAAGGGTAAGGGGGGTTTGAGCCCCCCTACCTAATGTTTGTAAGGGTTTCTCTGGATTACACTGTCGTTTAACACTGGGGTTTACTAAACCTTGATAATACTGATTAATACTGAGTACTACTTCCTATTGGTTACACTTGATAACATTTTGTAACACTAAGTTAAACTATACACTTGATCACTAACTCTGATAACCTTTAACTGAATTAACCATGGTGCTTTTCCAAGGAAATGCTACGCAGAGAAAACATATTAACTAAACGCTGCCGCCATCATGCCAGGGAATTAAAGCATGTCAAGCAATGAGGCAAGAAGCATTGCTTGGCTTTAAGAGTTCTCCTCTAAATGTTTTTACTTAATGACCGGTTGTTAAGAAACTGTACACGGAGGATTAAGAGGCCTAATTGACACATGAGAGGCCTAATTAATTGACACAGATGGAAAGTTTAACATGAGTTTAATTGGATACAAATTATGATAGTTATCTTAAGTTATAGGTTATCTTAAGATGATTTCGGGGCTTTGGTGTCCCCGCGGCCCGGTCCTCGACCAGGCCTCAACCCCCAGGAAGCAACCCGTGACAGCTGACTAACACCCAGGTACCTATTTTACTGCTAGGTAACAGGGGCATCAGGGTGGAAGAAACTCTGCCCATTGTTTCTCGCCACCTAATTTAGTCACCTAATTTTTAGTCCCTACTCTAACACTGGCAATTGTTAAGAAATCCTACATGGAGTAGATCAAAGAGCACACACACACACACACACACACACACACACACACACACACACACACACACACACACACACACACACACACACACACACTACCTTCTGGGTCCTGCAGTATGACCTGAGTGGATTCACTCTGCCTTCTGATGGCCATCTTGATGACCTGTGGCCTACTGATCCTCTCTGGCCTCCAGCACTCATTCTGACTCTGAACTCC